TTCTTGCTTTCTGTCTCTCTGTCTCTCTGGCAAGTGCCTGCATCTAGCAAAAATCTCTCTAAAAACAAACAAACAAAAATAGAAGGTTATATAGATATATGGTAATATTACTTATTAGTCCCTGACTTCCACTAACAACCAGAATCAAGTATGCATCTATAGCTGAAGGGCTCATCCACAAATTATAATAAGTTGGTGTTGGCCTGAGTTCAAGAGCTACAGTGGCCAGACAGTGGCGCAGTGGTAAAGCGCACACTCTGAAAGGCTGACCCACATGGGAAGGTTCAATGTTTACATACAGAGATTTCCCTGAGCACACAGGGCATGCACATGTGCATGATTTGGAGCTGGCCGAAGCTGGGGGTGGCTCGTGGCTTCAGGGCCCTATTAGAGCTGCTATCTTTCCCTTTTGCTCAGGGAAGAAAATATTAAAGATATATCTACATTTTTTAATACAACTATAGATTTTTTAATAATTATTTATTTAATTTTATTTATTCATTCATTTATTTTTAATTTGACCAGAGAGAGACAGAGATAGAGAAAGGGAAAATGAGAAAGCAAGTCACCAGGTCCAGGGACTCGAACCCCGGTTGGCCATGTGGAGTGTCCAGCACCTTAACCACTATGCCACCTACTGGTCCCAAGATATATCTATATTTTTAAAGCTCTAATATGATTGCCAACCAAGTCCTAGGATTTCCTGGTTGTGGCAAGTGACTGTTTAATCTGCTGGAACTAGATGCTAGGCCTGCAGTCCTCGGGTGAACAACAGTCTAGTAGGATACCACTTCCTGCTGTATTTGATTAGATGAAACTGAACTCTCAACCAAGATGTGACCTGAATTTCTTTATTTACAAGGAAATCAGTGGTTCCAAACTTTCTTAGCCTTTGGCAATGAGTGAACCGAATTCATTTGCACAAGCAACGAATTTCCCTGACAGATGAATTCTAATTGGGTGGCAAGAAGGGGAATCCTCCAGCGGCAAGGAGATTCTCTTTCAAACTACTCCAACCTTCCAGCTTCTCTTCCATTTTTCCTTAACTCTAACTTAGGGGGATAATCGAGAACATACACACGATTCAGACTGAATGTGGCATTTCAGAGGAAAACCCCAGCTGAGTACACACGAGTGTGTTTTAGCTTTGGCAGAAGAAAAATAGTTATGCATTATACATGGGCTATAAAGACATTTTTTGTAAGCCTTACTTTAAAATGTTTGAATTTTAGAACTTAAAATGTTCCATGTGTTTAGTATTTCTTGTTCAGTCAAACTAAAGACAAGTGGTCAAAAATTCAGTCTCAGCATACATGTGGTATATTCTAGGAATGTTTAATATATTATTACTATTTCTGTAGCTATGGCATTTGTAAACATAGCTTTTATATGCATTACTGGTTATAGTTAAGGCATTCATTATACAACAAATATTTATTGAATACCTACTATGTGCTAGGCCCTATTTTAGGTACAGGAGAGATATCTCAAATAAAGTCAATACATCGGAGGAAACAAGACATAAATGTATCTGTAAATAAATATAATAGGTAATGAAAATTGTTCTTCCTACTTTAGTCAGGGAACGAGAATGTGGGTGGGGATGCTATTTAGACAGAAAGCTTCTCTTTATTTGAATGAAGACCTTCATGAAGGGCAAGGAAGCGCCTTTTGATCATCAGGGAAAGTGCCCAGGCAGAAGGAGCAGGACCAGGCTCTGCTGGAGTGAGAGCCTGGAACAGCCTGAGGGCCCATGTGGCCAGAGAGAAGTGAGCGAGAAGACAGAGTAAACAATAGGAAAGGATGTCTTCCATAAAAACCCAGTCATAGTGTTCTCATGCCCCATCAAAGTGGGATGACCAACAACTGGTTTCAAGTTGTAGAGGTTCAAGGGATGATAATAAATCGCAAGGAAAGCCTGCTACTAAGCTATAATCTCCTTGTTAAGCTTCGTTAACGCATTGGAAAATAGACACTTGTTGCTTCCCCCCCTGGGCCTATTTACCTATGCATTCCACCTGCCTGACAGGTCCTTCTGGACTTCTCACCCCATCCAATTTCTCCCATATTACAAAGCTTAATTTAAGTTCTCAGCCTCCTATAAAATTTTAACTCCTCTGCCCAACGTTGAGTCACTCTTCTTGCTTTGTGACCAGAGGTTTTAACCTAGGACTTGCTTGTCATCAATAGATTGGTCTTCAGAAGAACCCTGGAATTGTACATGAAAAAATTCATAGGTAATTCTCTGTGCATTTTCGCAACGAGGGTGTTCATAAATCCCATGAAATTTTAAAATTAATTTGGGACTTCAAAAGATGGAGGATGACTACCCTTGGCCAGTGTTTCTCAAACATTGAATGTGCAAAGGAATCAACTCCATTTTCTTAAAAGAAAGATTCAGATCCAGTAGCTCTGGGGTGAGGTTGATGTAGCTAGTTCTGGGAATACACCTGGTAGCAGGAGCTAGAAAATTATCAAAACTTGCTCGGGTACATTGACATGTCACCCTCTTCCCCTTAAGTAGGTTTATGGGCGACCAGGGCACAGCCAACCCTACTTGGCTCTCTCTAAGCTAAAGACTATGGAAAAAGAGCTAGCTATTGGGCCTTCACAGATATTCACAGATAATAGGCTCAGTTAGGCTAATAATGATACCATCAATTTTTCAGGTCTAAATGTTTCCATAATTCAGAGCATTAGAATCTCAGAATCCCTAAAGTTTTCCTGAAACAAAGCTTTTCTCTCTCCGCCGGTAGTAGAATCCTTTAACATATTGAAATCTGAAGCTGTCAGATCTAAATGCTATTATATTTAGTATAGAAAATGCACTGGATTGAAAGGGGAATTCATTATACAAGGGTTTTCTCACTGAAGACTTCAGTACAAAGAAAGAATATGAGCACCAAAGAGGCTAGGATAAATCAAACCAACACCACCAAGCCTGTGAAGTGGCAGGTCCTAGATAAACTGTTTAAGGTCCAGAAGTCTCATAAAAAATATAAATAAAGGCAGAGCGGGCGAGAGACCCTCTAGAAGATGAAGACTGCAGAAAAGTAAAAATGGGGTTTTGGAATTAATTGCCACCTCAAACCTGCCACTCCATATTTACACAAATTCTAAAAGAAGTTATTGACCTAGTCATGTGGAAATAAAAGTGTTTTTAATAGTAACTAAGTATAGAACAAATTTTTAAAAGTAAGACATACGTAATGTCTTTATGTGTGCAAAAAGAATTTTTTAAATGGTATTTTATAAATAGAAATACCGACTATTTGTACTTATAAAACTATGCTATGAAATGAAACCTATGCATACATATTTATAAAAAGACTTTAACCTAAGTGGGCCAGTAACATTTAATATTTTTCAATAAATGAATATATAAAATATATACATTAGTGCCAAATGGAACATATATTTTGAAATATGAGCCCCAAGTAAAACTCTCAGGAATCTGGAGCAGAATCCAGATATCTGCCAAGGGAAACTTTGGAGCAGTTGCCTTTTAAGAAAGGAAACAATGCTTGGTCTCTTATCTTCATGGACTGTTTTGCTTGTCAAACTTCTAATATCACTTCAGCTGAGTTCTGTATTTGAGTTCCAACCTCATGGCCATTTGACCTGCCAACTATTATTTTCTCTGAGGCTTTTTACACTCCACCCAAGTATTTTGCTTTCCAGAACAGTTGTGTCCGTTTCCTTTGCACTTCACCTTAATGCCAGCCTTGGTTTGCGACGTGGGCTTAACGTGCACTCTAGGGTTGCAGAGGACCCGGAGACTGCGCGGCGACGACCTGGTTACTGATAAGGTTCTGGAAGGCCAAGGTCCCCTGGAGAGTCTGTTCTTTGTGCCAGGATTTCCATCCAACCTGAGAGTTGCAGGGCTGAGGCCTGGCCCCGAGCGCCCGACTCCCTGGGGGTCCCAGCCCCTGTCCCGGTCAGCGGTGCGGGTTGGGACCTCACAACCGGAAAATGCCGCCCTTTCCTGTCGCCTACTCCTTCCCCAGGCGGACAACTGGAAGAGGAAGCGAGGGAGACCGATTAAGAAAATTAACATTAATTAACCGGGTTAGCGCTCGGCCCCCGGGCGGAGGGGCGGGGCAGGCTGCGGTGTGGCCCGAATGACCGACAGGCGCAGGTGCCTCCAAGGGCGGAATTTTACGCTCCCGGTTCCGCAGCTCCGCCGCTTGCGCCAGGTGGCGCGTCTGGGGCCGCCGCCACCACTTTCCCCAGCTTTAGGCAAATCTCTTTGAAAGACCCCGAGGGAGCGGAAACACCTCCCCCTGGACCAGAAAAACCTGCAGCGTCTGCGGTTCTTCGCGTGCCCACGTGCTTAGGCGCGAGCCCCAGGCGCCTCCAGTGAGCGAATCCACTCTCCGGGTTTTGGCGGCAGCTCCAAGGGAAAGCGAGCTGGAAACTGACAGTACGCGACCCTCCCCCTCTGTCCCCAACCCGGGCTACCAGTGCCCTGTGAAACCGCGGCTCGACTGGAGTGACGGGGTCAAATGGCCCGCTTTCCCGCGGGTCGCTCGCCCGCCGCGCCGGACCCTCGCACGGTTAGGTCGGACTGTTGGGACGGAAAGGTGGGCGCACGTGGTTCAGTGTGGGTGTTCGGGGCGCGGGCGGCGTCCCATTGTCCTCGTGCACCCGGGCGGCAGCACCCCGGGGTCCCTCCCTCTTGGAACCGAGCGTCTCGCGCCCTTTCTTTGTGTTGAGGGAGCCGAACGCGTCCTCTCCTCCGAGGAAGCCGCGTCGCGGGGGAGGAGGGTGGTGGTTCGGAGCTAACAATGAGCGCCCATTGTCCTCCCAGGGCCCGCTGGCCCCACCGGCAGCGAACGTCGCGCGCACGCGCGCGCCCGGGCGCCCCTTGGCCCCGTCCCCGCCCCGGGCCGGCCCCCACGCCGCCGGCCCCGCCTCGCTCCGCCCCGCCCTCCGCAGGTTCAGTCCCTGCGTCCGGTCTCCGCGCGCTCAGTCTCGCTCGCACCTTTTCTCGCGGCTGGCGCTGGGGGCCGGGGGGGGCCGGAGCTAGGGACCGAGCGTGGGACCTTGCCGCCGGCCGGCGCGCCTTCACACCTTCACGCGGTCTCGGGGAGGATAACGCTGTGAACAGGCGCCGCGCTGGCCGACCCAGCTGGAACTGCGCACACCGGCAGGGACTGCGTGCGCCGCCGGAGGCGTCGCGCGGGGCTCGGGCTGGGGCAGCGGCCAGGATCCTCTCCGGCTGCTGGTGAGTCGGTGCCAGCCCAAGGCGCCCTCTTCTCCACCTGTCTGTGAGTCTGTCTGACTCCCAGCGGAGGCCGCTTCCGGCGTGCCCTGGTGTTAGGCTTGGAGACCCACAGGGAGCGGGGATGCTGAGGGCTTTGCCTTCCCATCTGGTGTCCAAAGGATCAAAGAGGACTTAAAACAAGGCGAGAGGGAGTTGGGGGGTACGTGCGGACCTCAGAGCTGCACCGTGTGTGCCCACGCTTTTCAGGGTGGGGCAGCGCGGTTAGACTGCGCCCTCCGGGCTATTGACAGAATCGTTCTGGGAGCGTATTGCATTTTTCCGTCCGAGAGCAAGCCGCACTTGGCTACCGCGCCCCTCTCGTCGTGGGCTGCCATCAGGGCCGCACATGGGTGCACCGTGGAGGTCTGCAGTGCCAGTGTCGGGTCTCTTCCTCTTGATGTAGGGCATTGTAACTGGAGCTCTTGCAGATTTGGCGGTTGAATGGGGGGGCGGGGGGACATGGTGGTTTCTGAGCAGCTGAAGCATGTACAAGATTGGCTTTCCTCTCATTTTCCTTAAAACTAGGTGTCCTGACACAGACAAGTATCAGGTATGTGAGGACGAATGGATCTGGCCATTTTTCCTTATGAATTATTATGCTCCATCCCCCTCTTGACTTTGGGAGGCATGTGTTTCATCTTATAAATAGAAAGTAGCATATTTTTTGGCAGGATCTCCTTTATACTGTACAGTCTAGGAGAGGTCAGTTTAAAAATAAATATGCACTTGAATGTTACATTACCGAGACGCGGGCTGGGGCTGGGACAAGCTGCATGGACAGCAGCATCAAAGCTAGGAGCGCAGCTGTGTTGAAAGGAGTGAAAGCCCCAGAGTGCAGCCAGGCTGACAGTCAAGTAATTACATTTTGTTAAAAAAAAAAAAAGTGAATTAAAATGAAGGCGGGAATAGGAATGTCAGAAAGGTATTGCAACATGAATCTTTCCAGCCCTGGTGTTTTGGGACTGGGCTGCTGGTGTGTGCTGAGAATAGAGGGAGGCCTGTGGGGAAGGAAACCTCCAGCTCTTCAGATATCCAAGAGTTTCTTGGAGGTGCTGCCTTATAAGAAGAACAGAAATTAGGAGAGCAATTGTTGTCCCTAATTTAATAGCAAAACCAGTTTTAGGGTTTTCCTTTCATATCACAGGAAGAAAAAATTTCACTAGGAAGCTATGTGATGGCCCAATGTGAAAGACTCCTGTAAAGTACTAACATATAAAAGCTCTTTCATCTTACACCAGGAAATACAGCTTCTTTTCTGGACAGTTCCAGAAGTCATCTCTTTGATACACCTATAATTTGTAGGCACGCGTATTGGCAACAAAGAAGTTACACAGGTATGTGTGTGGCACAAACCCATTTGAGAATCAGTTTATTAAACTAACAGTCAGAAATAATTCAGAGCAGTTGAGAAAGGTTTAGCACTGTAACATGTGAAAGAAACGAAGAGAGACCATTTTTATTGCTCCAAGAAATGGTTGAAAGTTCTTCATTAAGTTGCCCAAAGAAAGTCAGTTTCCCAATAGGCCTGTCCAATGAACAAAACAGTACCAGCCTCTGGACTCACAGATAAGCAGTTTAGAGGAGAAATTTGGAAGCCTTTCTGGATCCATGGCAGTTTCTGGTTTCCAGCGGTATCATCTGCTAGAGATTTACATTATGAATTCCCTGATTGGAACATGGTGCTGAGGCTATGGTAGCAGCTACAGACGTGGACTAAGATGAGCTCCCCTTCCCTCAAGCTGAGCAGTGAAATTCTGTTTCCTCTCTCAGTGGAATATGGAAAAGCAGCAAGAATAGTAAGTGCTGCACTTCTTTTTTTTTTTTTGCCTTTTATTGCAAATTGAAGTATGCAGGATGAATAGATACAAAGCCGTCACAACTATTGCAGTGGAGCTCACATGAACTCGGGGGCCCTCCAGCATCTCCTTTAATGTGGTATTTGGTTTTATGTCCAACATGTTTACCAAAGCTGCCCTTTTTCACTTACAAAGTTCCTGGTATTCCACAGTATTGGGAATAAAGTTATGTTAACATATTTCACCCCAAGGTTTTTACCAGGTCATAAAGTTTTCACTTGTTCTTTGCCTGTTAGCCACAGGATGTATTCAGTGAGTAGAATACAATTCATAATCTGGAAAACTTTCAGGAAGACTGCTGATTTTTTAAAAAATTAAGATTCTCGCGTTCACTCTGATTTCCTATATAGGCCCAGCCTACCTTCTTTCTACCAGAGTCCTGTGGGCCTGTTTTTCTTTTTTACAGATTGAGTAAGAACTTAAATCTATTTTTAAATGCAATATATTTGCCAGAGAACATGTACAGTCATTTGAAACTACTAGATGGAGCCAGCTACAAATCTCCCTTACCAAGCACCGGGTCCAGGAATTCTCCCACTGTAGCTAGTTATTCATTCCTTTTGATGACGAAAGTACTTCCTACATGGAGCCTCCGAAGTGCCTCCTGCTCTTCACAGCCCTTTGTCTTGATTCACTCATTTATTTCCCCGCAGGGCTTCCAAAGAGCTGCTCCTATCCCCAATTTACAGATGTGAAGACTGAGGACAGACTCATTCAATAAATTGCCCAAAGTTGTACGTTAAGGACACACAGAAGCCTGCAGATGCAGTTTCACCACACAGTGCCTGTGAGCACTCGTGGCTAATCCTACATGAAAATCGGTAGCTCTTTGGGTTTAGGGGATGGGAAAGAAGCCTGAGGTTAGGAAGCCTCTGAGTCACACTTCCTGGCACGTATCTTAGCTCTAGCACTAAATATTTGTGTGACTTCGGGCAAGTCACTTAGCCTGTGTATCTCAGTTTATTAGTTGGAAAATGGACATAATTATGCTACCCTGAGGACTAAAGGTGTTAAAAACTGTAACCTACACAGAACCATGCCTGGCTGAGACTAGGCACAAGGAAAGCTTGCTGTTTATACTGTCGCCTTTGTTGTTTGCCTAAGTGCTTAATACTCCTCCCATGGAGTAGTCACAACTATTCTTTCAGAGAGATGGTATTGCTTTTCTTTTCTAGATAGAACTCAAGAGTCAGAAAGGGTTAGTAGGTTGGCCAAGGTCACACAGCAAAGTAAATAGCAGAATCTGGATTTTAATGCAGATCTGTTGACCTTGTACTAAATACCACATCCCCAACATGGGGTGGGGGGGGGGAACGGGGAAGCTATCAAATCTGATTTTTGTTACAGTTTTGGCCTTTGGTAAGGAATGCATTTTATAGCACTCTGTATCTCCCAGTCCCGCCCCCTAAAGGAAGATGACAGTAATTGCTAACCTTGAGGAATACGATGCAGATTATTTTATTATTAAAGATGGTTTTAATCCCACATGTATGGTAACAGTTTTCTCCTAAAATGAATCTAGCCTGAAAACCACCAGAGTTAACATAAGCATTGAATTTTACTATAAATAAAGAAATTTACTAGGTGAAATATAGGACTCCAGAAGGAAAAAGAAAGGCATGCCACTGCTAGGAACAAGGGATTCAAACCATAGTCTTGCTTCGGAGTTCTGGAGAGCCATGTTACAGGGTGCAGCAACCATGGAACGCCACCTTGAGCCATCCATGGTGCCTAACCCTCCAGGACCTGGTGCTCGGTGGGTGTCCAGTACATTTTCTGGTAATGATGTTGTCCCAAGAGCCAAAGCAAAGGCAGACGCCAGAGTAAGCTGGGCAGGACGGCGCTGAGCTCTGTCCTTGGCGGAAGCCAGGCCTAGTTCCAGTTCTGCACATGCCTTGGATCCTGCCAGATAAGCTTCTGGTGTGAAAGATAGAGTGAGGAAGCCTTTGAAACCTAGAGGGGTGCCCCGATAACCCCAGCAGCCTGCCTGGCCACCCCTGCCTTTGATGCTCTGGGTTTGCGATTAGCTCTGGGTGTCCTCAGAGGGTTGCTCAGAATGAAGTAGGGATGAGGAAGGGACAGCTCGGAATAACTCAGGCTGCCTGCAGACTGAGGGGAATAGCCACGGAGCTGTCCAACTCCATCTGGAATCTTCTCTTCTTCTGCCTCTTCCCTTACAAAGGCAACAAAACAGAACAGCGCTCCACACACTAAAATAGCCAAATCGTTCTGCAGCAAGTCAGGTGTGTTTCGTTCATTTCTTTCCTTTAAAAAAAGAAAAAAGAAAACAAAACAGCCTTCCTTGGCCTTGATCTATTTCACTGCCAGGTTTTGCCAGAGTCATGTGATGATAGACTGAGTCTGACAGTACTTCCAGTTGAAAAGCAGTTTTAAAAATATATAACCAGCAGTTCTCATAATGGCTATGTCGCTGAACTCCCATGTAGTCGACCGTGGTTCGAGTCCTGGACCTGGTGGCTTAAACTCACACCGGGCGCGTGTGCATGCGTGCCCAAGATCCTGAGAGGAAAATGGAGAAGAAGGGATTGCAGCGTGGCCATCCCCCTGGGGGGTGATTTCTCGCTTTCTATCTCCCTGTCTTTCTGGTGAGCGCACGTGCCATAATGCAAAAACCTCTCAATATATATATTTTTATATATATATATATATATAAATAAACACACATTTTTAAAATCCCAAGCATGATACTGAAACTTAAAACTTACTATCTAAAAAGCCTAGCAATCAGTAAACACCAGTGAGTTCCACACTAGTGTTTGCTTCATCCCTACTGTTTGCCTAAGTCATGAATTAATAGAATTCTAGAATCCCAACTTGAAAAAAAAGAAAAAAAAAAAAGATTGTCAGTGGTTTGGGTTTTATTTGTGTATTCGAGAAAGTTATTATTAGCCTCAGCCTTTAGCTCTTGGTTAAACATGGTGGCAGAGACCACACACCTGCAGTTAGCTACCAGGTCACCTCCTAAAGAGTACATGAAGGCAAGAATAGCATCAGAAAAGGATTCTCTGGGAAACCAGTTTGAAGGTCCCTTTCTGCAGGACTTTTCAGAGCATCTAAAATGCCATGTGTATGATAAATCTCCAC